CGCAGCAGCGATAGGAAGTTGCTCTTTTCTTGCATATAGCTCTGAGGAGGAAGAGGAAGAGGAAGAGGTTTCAGGTTTCTGTGAGTGGAGAGGGGCAAACGGGGCAGGGACCTAGAGGGCCAAAAAGGGGGTTTAGGGGTGAGTGAAAGGGATGGAATGGCAGCAAGGAACAGCTCCCTTGTATTTCCATGGTAACTTCTGAACCCAGGGCTGGCAGAGTTTCAGGTCTTCAGGGAAAGCCCTTCAATTGGGGTAGGATCTCTTCCCTATGAGTGGGAGCTCTCTCTGCCCCTGAAAATGCACTCTGCGTAGGCTCAGAGGCCCTGCTGTGGGAAGAGAAGCTCAGCTGTGGAAAATAGGCTGGCTCCTATTTTTTATTGTTATTGTTATTGTTGTTTATTTACTATTATATGTTGTTATTATGTTATTCTTTATTATAATATTAATTATTATTATTGTTTATTGTTATTATCTGCCTCTCAGTTGACCTCGACTCATGGTGACCCTCTGGATAATATTATTTATTATTATGTTATTATTTGTTATAATAGTGTCAATTATTATTATTGTTTATTGCTATTATTTGCCTCTCAGTCGACCTCGACTCATGGCGACCCTGTGAATAATATTATTAATTATTATTATTATTATTGTTATCTGCCTCTGAGTTGACCTCAACTCATGGTGACCCTCTGGATAATATTATTTATTATTATGTTATTATTTGTTATAATAGTATCAATTATTATTATTGTTTATTGCTGTTATTTGCCCCTCAGTCGACCTCGACTCATGGCGACCCTGTGAATAATATTATTAATTACTATTATTATTGTTTGTTGTTATCTGCCTCTGAGTTAAGACCTCAACTCATGGTGACCCTGTGGATAATATTTATTATTATGTTATTATTATATTATGTTGTTATATTACTATGTTGTTATAATATTGTCATTATTATTATTGTTAGTTATCTGCCTCTGAGTCGACCTCGACTCATGGTGACCCTGTAAATAATATTATTATTATGTTATTATAGTATTATGTTATTATTATTACATTGTTTGGTGTTGTTATCTGCCTCTGAGTCGACCTCAACTCATGGCAACCCTGTGGATAATATTATTTATTATTATGTTATTATGTTGTTATTATTTATTATAGGATTAATTATTATGTTACTACTATTTATTTATTATATTATTATGGAATATTATTTGTTTATTGTTACTGTTATTATTATTTATTGTATTGTTATGTTATGTTATTACAGTCAGCCCTCCAGATTCCATATCGACAGATTCAACTATCCACAGCTTGAAAATATTCAAAAAAAGATATAAATTCTGAAAAGCAAAGCATGATTTTGTCATTTTATATAAGCAACACTATTTTACTATCCATTGTATTTAATGGGACTTGAGCATCTTGGAACCAATCCCCAGTGGATACTAAGGGGCTACTGTATATTATTATTACGTACTTCTTATTATTATTATTAGAGATCCAAAGCAGTATATCGGTTTGAGTGTTGGACTACGACTCTGGAGACTAGGGTTTGATTCCCAGCTTTATCATGAAACCCACTAGGTGACCTTAGGCAAGTCACTATCTCTCAGCCTCAGGAAGGCAATGGCAAACCTCCTCTGAACAAATCTTGTCAAGAAAACCTCATGAAAGGTTTGCCATAAGTCAGAAATTACTTGAAGGCACACAACAACAATAAATTATTATTATTATTATTATTATTATTATTATTCCTGTTAAGACCAGGCTTATATTAGGTCCTAAGAGTGTTTTTTCCTGGGTATAAGTAGGTATGAAATCAGGAGTTACTTTTTGGTATTGCAGCTCTCAAAGGGCCTTTACAGACTGCCAGAAATAATGCAGCTTGAGTCCACTTTAACTGCCCTGGCTCAATGCTAAGGAATCATGGGAACTGTAGTTTATTGTGGCACCAGAGCTCTCTGACAGAAAAGGCTCAAAGTCTCAGAAAAAAACTACAGTTCCCATAATTCCTTAGCACTGAGCCAGGGCAGTTAAAGTGGACTCAAGCTGCATTATTTCTGGCAGTCTGTAAAGGCCCAAAGTCTCCCAGCTGTAGCTGGTGGATCCTGGGAGGTGTAGTCCAGAGAAGGGTAACTTTTCTAAGCTTGAGTGTAGATCATTGTATGTAGAACCCAATTATCTGGCTGATATTATTTACTGTTCCGTAGCAATTTCTTGCTATTACAATTGGCTATGCCCTGTTGAGTACTTAACCTAATTACTTTGCAGCCTCTTTCTCTTTCTATAGACATACCTCAGACAATTTTGTTTGTTAAAAAATAGTTTCCAGTAAGTGTGTAAAGATGGGGGCCGAGTTCTAAGGAGTTCAACAGGATTTTCTCCAAAGTAAATTATTTCAGTCACAGTGATTTAGGGGGGTTGCAGACTGCCAGAAATAGTGCAAATTGAGTCCACTTTTAGGGTTAGGGTTAATGCTAGGGAGTCATGGGAATTTTTTTGGGGGGGGGGACATTGAGCCTTCTCTGTCAGAGAGCTCTGGTGCCACAATAAACTACAGTTCCCATGATTCCCTAACCCTAACCCTTAAAGTGGACTCAGTTTTCACTATTTCTAGCAGTCTGCAAAGGCCCTAAGTTGTGTTGTGAGATATTGCATTCTGGATCCAAAAGAAGTAGATGGGCCCTTGAACAGAAAGGAGTGGAGAATAGAGAACCAACGACTTATTTATTTAGGAGATCCATGTCTCACAACTTACTCCATCATGGAACTTCAGATGATATATATGGAGGTCACCTATTTAGGCTCTAACCAGACCCACGCCTGTGTGGCTTCAGCAAAGGAGCTGTGTCATTTTCCCCCAGACCCTATCTTTTGGTGGCAATTGAAACTGTTTGCTAACTGTTTGAATTAATCTTCCCATGTGGAATTGGAGCTGGACTTTAGAGCCCGGTAAACAAAAGCTGGCTCCAGTCCACAATCAGCTTAGGACTAACACATTTCTTCTCTCACGTGCCCTGCTGATGTTAGCTGTTTAGCAGTCAGAAATGTTGCATGTTGATTGCTGTTTAGAGGAACTCCAGTCCTGAAATACTACAAGTTTACAGTTGCATTTTGTGGGCAAGCTATCCCTTCCTATATTTTTATTACAGTTCTTGAACTGTTAATAGTTTTTATTATGTACAATTCATAATAACTGTACAGCATTAATTTGAATTATACAGTTTTTGAACTGCTATCTTGTTTTTTATTAATAGGGCCGCCCGAAATAATTTTGCTGTTTCAAACAGGAGCATGAAGTATCTAAAGGCAGCGAAGTAATTTTGGTACATGAAATGAAAAATCCCCAAAGCACCTTTTTCTATTCCTGACAGAAAAATGCAACAAATTGAATAACTAGCCCAGGGGTAGGCAACCTTTTTGAGCCAGGGGCTGGGTTGCTGTCCCTCAGACAATTGGGGGGCCGAACCACCAAAAATAAATAAATAAATAAATATTAAAATAATTTAATTTTTAAAAAAAAAATATGCATGCACACTCTCTGCCCCAGAAAAGCCATGGCAAAACCGCTGTGGAGATTTTGCCAAGAAAACCCCCAAAATAAGTAATAACAACAATAATCAATATCATCATGGCGGGCGGCAGCAGTGGCAGTGGCGGCGGCAGGACCAGCCTGGGGCCGGTCCAAAGGCCTCGGGGGGCCGCATCCAGCCCCCGGGCCTTAGGTTGCTTACCCCTGAACTAGCCAATTACCACCTTTCATGACAACCAAAATCTGCTGCTTTACCTTGTAGCAGCTTCACTCTTCCCAGGGAGGTCTCTGACACATTTACTTGCCCCAAGGCCTTTTGATCTGGGAGGATTTAACTGGTTTAAAATGAAGGCAGTAGCTTCACTAAGAAGAAAGTCCTATTGAACTCACTAGGGGTTAGTTTTATGTGAAGATGTTTAGAGCCAGGCTGGCCTGCTGAATATTAATAATACCATTTTGGCTTCAAGCTACATACATCATTACAATCTATATTAATTTGGTACATGGAAGTGTTGGTGGATATAGGAGTCTATACATATATATAATGTCAATACCACTGTCAGAGTTAACTGCCTAAGGCACCAGATCCCATCTGATCTTGGCAGTGAGGCAGGGTCAGCCCTGGTTAGTACTTGGATGGGAGGTTGCCAATGAATAATAGGTGCTGTGGGTTATATTTCAGAGGAAGGAACTGGCAAAAGGACCTCAGAGTATTCCTTGTTTAAGAAAACCCTATGAAATTCATGAGCTCATGCTGCCAATTTCTTTCTTTTAGTTAGTCTCAAAGGTGCTACAAGATCTCTCTACATATGGAAGGCACATACACACATACACATCACTGCCAGAAACTTTGTAGAATAAAACTTCTTATGGATGGTAACACTCCAGGTTACTTTCCTGCCTCTGACATAAGCTCTGCACACATATGAAAGAAAGTAATATAGTAGAGAGAGTTTAGCAATGGTATGATCTGGAATTCTAAAACAAGTGCTTTTGATACAGAGACTGGCTTTTTAAATCTGCAAGTGATGGGAAGCAAATCTGTAGCTGATGGAAAGCCTGGGGCTTTACATCAGTAAGAAAACAGTCCACTAAACAAATACTGTACTGATATATTCTGGAACAGAAAAAGCTTTCAAAAGCTTTTCAGTTATTAAAGAGAAATGCATATGCTAGCATGCAAAGTGATTTGTTTGGGATTAAATGCCTTTTGTTTGTATAAGGTTAGAATCTGCAAGTTTCTGGATAATTGAAAAGTTTGTTGTTTTTGTGTGCCTTAAAGTCATTTCCAGTCATTTCCTATCATGGGATTTTCTTGGCAAGATTTGTTCAGAGGAGCTTTGCCATTGCCTTCCCTGAGGCTGAGTGCATATCATGCACTGGGAAGGCGATGGCAAAGCTCTTGCCAAGAAAACCCCATGATAGGGTTACTCTAAACTGGAAAGGCACACTGTGGGTTTCATGGCAAAGCAGGGAATTGAACCCTTGTCTCCAGAGTTGTGGTCCCAACACTCAAACCACTATGCTACACTGTCTCAATTTAAAAGTTGCCCGGAATTGTACCAGTATTGCCTAATCTGACTTTATCCAACCTGATGCTCTCCATGTGTGTTGGACTTAAGCTTCTATCACCCCCCTGCCCATATGACCATTGGGAAGTAATCTGGTTAGGGAAAGCTATGAAGTATTACCTTTTATTTTATATCTTCCTTTATTTACATTGTATTCCTATTTGCAGCAATGGAACAACCACAGGACCCAGCTATGGAAGATGTGAAGGTTGTTGAAGAAGAATACAGGAAAGCATTCGTGTTCGTTAATAAAGCTTTGAATTCTGATGAATTGGGACAGAAGGAAAAAGCAAGGGATTATTATACACAGGGTCTTAACCACTTGGTCAAGGGAGTTAGCATTCCATCCCAAGGCCCTGAATGCACTGGACCCCGCTGGGAATCTGCCAGGCAAATGCAGCAGAAAATGAGAGACACTCTGCAAAATGTCCGTGCTCGCTTAAGTATCCTAAATAATGATGTACATCCTAATAGTACTGTAGTGTCTCCTACTATAGAGTCTCCGAAGTTATATCCAGCAATTCCTCCAAAAGAAAAGCCAGAGAGGCCTCCTGTACCAAATTCGCTGATAACACCTTCTCAGCCACTTGCAGCAATTGGAAGTGTTGCATCTACAAGCCAGGCACACATAGGTGTGATGAGTCCTTCTTCAGTGCCTAATGAAGCGCCCCCTGCTTATACCCCGGAGGCCACCAATGGACACTACACTGTCTCGTATGGGACAGATTCTGGAGAATTCTCATATGTTGGAGAAGACTACTACACAAAATGCACGCAACCACCTCCAGTTCAGAGTTTTGGAGTTGATGCTGATGAACTCATCCTCATTCCCCACGGTGTGCAGATATTTTATGTCACCCCTGATGGGCAAGTTAGTGCCCCCTCATATCCTGGATACCTTCGCATTGTGAAGTTTTTGGACACTGATGCTGCGGTGGCCCAGAATCGTCCCCCTGCTTTCCTTCAGGTAGTGTCTAAAGTTTTTCTTGTGTTAATGTCACTGTGTTCTCAAACCATTTAAGTGGGTTTCTGTAGAGAGATGCCAGCAATTTTTATACTGAATGTATATCCTGCCATTCTCACGAGGGATAGCATTTAGAGTGGCCAACCATGAACAAATAAGGCAAATAACAATTAAAACATAAAACATCTACAACACAATTTAAAAAACAGTAGAAGAATAACACTTTCTCCCATTTAAAAGCCTTTAAATTCAAGAGTAGCCTTTAAATAAAAGCCTTTAAATTCAAGCCTGCTTGAGTAAAAATGTATTTGCCTGCTGGTGGAAGGACAACAGGAATAGGGGCAACCATTGCCTTGTTTGGTAGGGATTTCCACAGCCTGGGAGCAGACACCAAGAAAATCCTCTCCTGCATCCTCAACAAATGTGTCTGAAGGAGCTGGCATTAACAGAATGGCCTCCTGTGAACTTCTCAAAATCTGGGTAGGGGTATAGGTGAGAATGTGGTATCTGAAGTAACCAGGGCCCAAATCTTCTAGGTTTTTTTTCCTAGGAAAATCCAAGCTCATCTGCTTGTCCTGTTTTGGAACAGGATTTTCATATTCTGTTCTGGAAATGCTCATTGGAAATTTCATAGAGAGAAGATTGGTAATGGCAGACAATACAGAAGCCTCTCTTTAAAATATGTCTATATTCATTTTAAAGTTACTCTGAATCATTGGCATAGAATTTTATTGGTATAATTTAATGGTGGAAGCCTCACGTTCAAGATTAGTGTTCAGGATGCAAGAAGTCTTAACCACTGCATGATGCTAAGTGCTCTTGAAGCTACACTTTGTACAATGAATTTTGTGTTGATCTGGCAGTAGCCCTACAAATATGTATCTTCCCTTTGACAACAACACATCAAAAACATTTACAATAGCATCCAGGGTAGCCGTGTTGGCCATATAATAAATCAAAAATGCACCAAACAATGATACCTTTATTAGGACAACCAAAATGCACAATTACATGTTGCAAGCTTTCAAAGTTCCACTGGCTTCTTCATCAGGCAAGATGTTAAAAACCATACAGAGGTAAAAAATTGAAGATGTTAGTCAAAGGCCTCCATTTTGCTATTGTCTGTTCTCAGTTCAGTTGGTATGGAGGGGCATATCTTGAGGTGGTGTCAGCCTGCAAGATCTGCACCTCCATACCATCTGAACTGAGGACAAACAACAGCAAAATGCAAGCCTTTGACTAACATCTTCATATTTTTCTCCTCTATGGTTTTTAACATCTTGCCTGATGAAGAAGCCAGTGGAGCTTCAAAAGCTTGCAACATGTAATTGTACATTTTGATTGGTCCAATAAAGGTATCTTTGTTTGGTGCATTTTTTATTTACAGTGGCAGTACATGTTTCAACTGTTTGGTTTGTTTGTACACAGCTACATGTGTTGTTTCTTTGGCACTTCCTAATAAACTTGAAATCTCCTATGTGCTAATGTATTATTCATTAACAAGGATGGTGTTTAATTTAAGATGTCCTTTTTGTTTTTTCCTCTTGTAGGTCTGTGACTGGCTGTATCCTCTTATGTGCAACCAGTCACCTGTCCTCTCCTGTAACACTGGAGTCTACATGTTCCCTGACATGATGTCTCAGGTGTCAGGATCCTATGTGGGAGTAGTGTTATCTTCAGAACTTCCAGCTGCTGACAGAGAACTGTTTGAAGATTTGCTAAAACAGATGTCTGACCTCCGAGTGCAGGTAAATATCAGCATTAAACCATCCTTCAGCAGGCTCATGTAAAGCAAAACAATGCACAGGTATCAATGATGCACTGGTGAGTCCTTAAATTTTGTGTTTGAAGAATTTGGCTGAAAGTTTGTTTCAATTGTAGTTTTCTGATGGGCAGGGAAGACGAGGAAAGTAGAATTTACCCCAGAAAAATCTCTTTACCTATAAGGAGATACTATTGATATAGTGTAGCAGGAATGTTTTTCCCAGAGTTGTTGTTCATAGTAGAACAGAAGCAAGAGAAAACACAATTTTGTTCTTATAAATATTTTAAAATTATTTTAAAACTAGCCATAGTCATAATCTGTGATCATGAAGAGGTAACTTGATTGGTCTACTCAAGAAGTCTAGAGAGGTTATTTGATGGTCATGTTATAAATATTTTGAAATTATTTTAAAACTAGGTTTAGTCATACCCTATGTGATCATAAAGAAGCGACCTAACTGGTCTACTCATGAAGTCTAGAGAGGTTATTTGATGGATTTGTCTCCAGCAAACAAATTCTGTCTTAAGAAGATAGAAAAATAGCTGGTAGATGTCAGAGATGGCAAATTTCCACTTAGATTTTTTTTTTTAAAAAAATAATGAAATTAAAACAGCAGACCAAAAATGTGGGGAATGTAAAATTCATTCTCTTATTGTATTAAATATTAGTGTTTCTCTCAAATCATATATTCTCTTTTATGAAAGACTGGTTTCAGTTGCCAATCTGATCTAATTTATTCAGAAGTTATTTATTCATATGTTCCTCAGACACATGGGGAGATTTACTAATGTATACATCTATCTGCATGCAGTTCATAAGAACAAAAATTTTCTGCGCTGTGTGATTTATTACTTGTTACTGTTGAACAGTGCAGAACAGATGCAATGTTGAGCCTTCATACTTGTGAAACTATTCATGTCCTCAATACGGTACCACAGGTTCCAGGATCCAATGAGGGGGAACGCTCAAGATCTTACAAAGACCTTTTTGAGGATTTGTTAAAACAGAGACCTGATCTCATAGCCAAGGTAAATTTTAGGGCTATGACTTAAAATGGTGGCTAATTCTTACTACACATATTAAATTTAACAGAGATTACATTTGTTTTCTGCTATGATATTTATGAATTGTTAAATGTATGTGCCACCAGCAAAAATTAAATGTTAAATTTAAACACTGAAAATACTAGGTATATTTCATTTCAAAACCTAGGGGAGTATTGCTTGGCAGTCTATAAATGTATGTCATGTATCCAAAAATGAGCATATAATGCAATAATATAATATGCAATAATATAGTGCATAATATATTTGAGGTATCAGAATATCAGGTATGGAATAGATTTGCTGAAGGACAGAAACTATGGTCCAATATATAGGCCAAACTCCATGCAAACACCACTTCATATTCAGTAAAGCCTAGCAAGCTGAAAAGGAATTTACTTGTTTCACTCAGTTCTTGTATAAACATATTTCATGGTGGAGTGGCACTGTTCATACCAGCTGATAAATACATTATTGGTTTCTGTCCATGTAAATTTGCATTGTCTTGATTCAGATATAACCATCTCTTAATGATAAACCTGTTTATTGGATTGAGAACCAGTTCTTGGGCCTGCACAGTCTCATGCTCCCCTCCATATTCCTGGCTTCAAAGAAGGTACAATACTGTACCATGATTGTGTCAACAAGAAGACTGTGTCAGCACTACTTATAAACCAGGAGATAGCATTTTTAAAATTTTAAATTGCTGAGCCATTTTATTTTGTCAGGAAACACGAGAGTTCGCCAGTGGCATCATTAGGGCTGGTGTCATCAGTGTGGTAACTCATGGTATTACACACACACCCCATTGACCTCCTCCTATGCCACACCATTCAGAGTCCTTAGTAAAAAAAAAATTACTAATGTTACTCACAAATTACAATTCCCACATATCAATGAATGTAATGGTAATAGTTGTGACATAAACAACTAGCACAGTTAAAATTATACTTTAAATTACAATATCATATCTGCAGCCTAAATGTATTTACATATACCGTACATAGTTTCATGTGCTTAAAGTGAAAATTTGGTAAAATGAGATGTTTTGAAGCAATTTTTAAAACTATATTTTTAATTGAATTTTTAATTTTTCTTTTAAAAAAATTGGGGTATCTCCTTTTTCCTCTCATTGAGCTTCCTCTCATTGAGCTTTCTTCAGCATTTTAATGGGACACAGGTGAATGCCACAGCCTGTTTCTGCCAAAAGGCAGGTGTTTGAGGAGCAGTGGTGTCACCCCAACTTTGGGTGTCACTTGGTGCGGTATGCATCCCTGTAATGCCATTGAAGTTCTTTAAGACTCCTGGAAATTTAGCTCTTTGCAAATTAGTGTGTGTGTGTGGTGAGGGAATTGTCACATTCTGAATGGTAAGATGTTGTGTTAAACATGCAGGCTAATGTCTGGAACCAATTTAAAAAAACAACAAATATTACAATTGATCTGGTAATCTCTTGATGATGATCCAAGTTACCTAGCAACTATATATTAATGGCATGACTTAACAAATTTGATTGAGCTTTGGTCTGATCTTTGTTTTGAGCTCTGGGTTACCAAATACCTATTTCTGTTTCACAGTGACACACCTAAGGAGCTTATAGCAGATTAATCGGAAATATATGCCAGTTACTTAGATTTGGCTCCTGCTGTTTGCATGAGTGTGAGCTATTTTTATCTGACATCCAAGTATATTAGGTAGTAAGTGCAAATGGGATAGCAGCCCAGCATTTCTAGGAAACATTTTCCCACTTGTCTACTGTAGTGACCACTGTATCACACCAAGGAATTGATTTATCACAAAATATGTTTGTTTTATGAACCTTTCATGGAAGATCTTAAGTTGGAATGTGAGATCCATGTAAATGTTACATTCTAATGAACCTACTTAACTGAAGTTATTAACCAAAATCCAGTTGACAGTCTGAACTAGAGTAGCCACCCTGAGTCAGTGGGATTTACATAAATGTTGACTTACCTTTCACCAGTAGATTCGATGACTCTGTTATTAAATGAGACTAATAATTTTGTTTAGGCCTTTACATAAAGAAAAGAGCTTGTATCAAAGCTGACACTCACGGGTGTCAAATTAATAAAGCCATTCGGGAGCTGTGATTATGTAAATATACGATAATAACTTGATAGACACACATATACCCCTTCTGTTTATAATAATATAGGGTATTGCCAAAAATAAGATATTTTCAGTACTTTTCTCTATTCATCTTTATTGTTGCTGCCTCTTTAACTGTGGATAGATGACTGGTTCCTAATTCTAATTTTGCTGATAGTTTGCTGCTCTTAACAATAAAGAGACACCATCACATGTTCAACCTCATCCTGGCTGTGCCAGTGTGCAAAACTCCAGAAAGAAATGAAATGAATGCAGTTCTATTGTTTGTAAATTCAAAAGAGGAAAACATGCAGCCATACAACCACCCATGTTTCTACCCATCGCCTCCGAAAAGCTTCCTCCTTTCAGTCCTGATTTACTGAACAAAGAGATGCTATGTGTGGGCACTTAAGGATACTGAATGGTGGGGAAATTGGGCTTCCCCTGAACTGAAAGTGAAGGGAGAACCTAAGGCACCAATCCTTCACATTTTAAAATATGCATCTTTACATATAGTCTGCTTTTACACTTGAAAAAAAGAAACACCAAGAGGAATAATAAAAATGTAAAATACTAATTTTGAAAAAAATGGTCCCAAAGAACTAAGTAGCTAAATTAACCAGAGCAAAAGAAATCAGTATGAAAAAGTAACTTGGTAACCCCACTGAGAAAGCCAGCATGACATAGTGGTTTGAGCGTTGGTCTCTGACTCCAAAGTCCAGGGTTCGATTCCCCGTTCAGCCACGAAACCTATTGGTTGACTGGACAAGTCGCATGCTCTCAGCCTCAGGGGAAGGCAATGGCAAACTTCCTTAGAAGAAATCTTGCCAAGAAAACCCTATAATAGGTTCACCTTGAGGTCACCATAAGTTGGAAATGAATTGAACGCACACAACAACAACAAAAGTGAACCTATCATGGGGTTTTCTTGGCAAGATTTGTTCAGAGGAGGTTATTTACTGTTATTTACTGAAGATTATTTAGTGTTCTGTTTTTTGCCATTGCAATTGGCTGAGCCCTATTGAGTACTTAGCCTAATTACTTTGCAGCCTCTTTCTATGGGCTGTTTAGACATATTTCAGATGCTTTTGTTTGTTAAAAATAGTTTCCAATAAGTGCAAAGATGGGACCAAGTTATAATGATTTCAGCAGGGTTTTTTTCTGAAGTAACTTATTTCAGTGACAGTGATTCAGTGTCTGTGTGTATGTGCTAAGTAAATGCCTATTTGTTTCCTGACTTGTGGCAGCTCTAAGGCAAACCTGAGAACCAGTGTGGCACAGTGGTTTGAGCATTGGACTATGACATTGGAGAAAAAGGTTCAATTCCCAGTTGGCCATGAAACCCACTGGGTAACCTTTGGCAAGTCAAAGAAAAGCAACGACAAACCTCCTCTGAACAAATCTTGCCAAGAAAACCCCATGATAGGTTCTCCTTAGGGTCACCATAAGTCAGAAACAACTTGAAGGCACACAACAACAATAAAAACAACCTATTGAGCTTCCAAAATGGTACATTTCCAGAACCCAAAAGAGGTTACATTTCTGGACTAACCTGCCATCATCCCTTTGGTTCTGGCATCTGGAAACTAATAGAGTAACAGGAACAAGATTAACATTCCTGTTCATGTAAATTAACATGGGGTTATGTAGACAAAGATGCCGTGTCATAATTCGCCTTAGATGTGTTACAACTGAACAAAAACCCACAGCATACTATCTAGGACAAGGGTAGGCAACCTTTCCCCTTTAAGGGCTGAGAGACTTCAGCTCCCAGAAGCCTCAGCCATGTTGGCCAATAGCTCCTGGGATTCTGGGAGCTGAAGTCCCTCGGCCCTTAAAGGGGAAAGGTTGCCTACCCCTGATCTAGGAAATAGTAACTGAACCCTTTAACTCTTGTAAAGTGTATCAGTGTTACGGGGCATGTAAATAAATCCAAGTGCCTCACCTCTCCCAACTTAAACCAAATTTAGTAGCTTGAACACAAAATAGGAAAGTATTATGGTCCCAATGTAAATTTCTTTGTTAGATAACTTGGGTAACTACCTCACTGCTTTACTTGACTTTTACACTCACTGTCTGATTTTCATAGATATGTATTTTCATCTTTTCAGCCAGCAGAGGCTTCAAGTGATGTCATTAACCTCAGCCACACTATACCTGTTCAACCAGTGCCTGAAGAGAGAGAGCGAGAATTACCTGATTGGAGTGAGAAAATAGCCCATGGAATCTTATCAGGTATCCTCTTAAATGGAACAGTTCAGGCTCAGTGTGATCTGTTTTCATTAAGGGAGTGTGATAATATTATTTCCCATCATAAAAATGTAACTGCTGATAGACTGACTGCAGACATTTCTGCAAACAGAACTGTTTAGAATTCACATGACAGAAAGGCACACACAGAGAAAGAGAAAGTACACACTGTGTTCTCTGGTAGTACTTTTGTTTGGCACTGGGGTGGAACCAAACAGATGTGTGTGTTACAAAGATTAGATTATTAACATACAGATTTGACCTATACACTTGGGACGTATATGATATTAAGAGGTTTTGTTTGCAGATCTTAGGGACTGCAGTGGAAATTAAGAAAGGATGTGGCCTCCATGTTATATGGATCCCAAACCATTTTTACCTTTTTGAAATGAATAATGTATATATCATTCAACAAATTCAATGATACCTGGGTAGTTGTAATTTAAAACCTAGCTTTTCTGCACCATTCAGACTGCAGTTGGGAGGGAGGTATAATTTTTTGGATGCTTTGCCACATAAAATGTTACCTCTGTGGAATAAAACTGCTATTCTGCTTTGTTTGCTTAATATATGTAAAACTCTGTGTGTGAAAGCTCTCAAAAAATAAGATGTGCCAGCCATCTGATGTGGGTACAGTTCATAATTTTATTGTCTCCTTCTGCATAATGAATAGAACCACTGTACAAACTGCCTGCTATTTTTTCTGCTTTCTGACTGCATTATTTTCTCCTCAGTGTTTGTAAGCACGTTCTAATGTTTGTTATATCAGTCTTTGGCCAAAAAGAGTATTTGGCATTGCTCTCCTGGCCCAGTTCCTATGCCCACCTGGCAATTGTACAGTCTTTTCCAGACCTACTAAATCTGTAAGTAGTAGTATGCTCTGGTACAGTACTGTAGAACCAGTGTACTAGGACATGAGGAGTACCAGGGTGTTACTGTAACTTCCAATAACTACATTATGGGAAAGCATGATACTGCTGTGGTACCTGATTCCCAGCCAGAAAGACTTTCTGGTATGATTGCTACTGCCTTTCCCAGCCTTAAAAGGCCAAGAGATCTAGCTCTATCAGTGCTGTGGTACTCTGCTCTCAGGAGATAAGCTGCAAAGCAAAGCAGCTTCATTTACATACTGTTTCATATCGCACTATGGGATGTCTAAGCGGTTTACAACTGTAAGCTCATTGCCCCCCAACAGCTGGGTACTCATTTTAGCGACCTCGGAAAGATGGAGGCCTGAGTCTAGCCTGAGCCCTGACTCGCAACCTTGTGGTCTATGAATGAGTGGCTGCAGTATAGGCATTTAACCACTGCGCCACCAGGGCTTTATAGTTGATTCCAAGGTAACAGATGGGAACCTTGTTTATTAGGTGGGCTCTCAAAATGTTATATCATGGTAAAGAGGTTCTTTAGTTCATTTATTTATAAAATTAAAGTATTTTTAACCCACATATATATTAACAGATCACAGAATAGAGTGCAGTCAGTAAACATGTCAGAACAGATTAGCAATTCAAGCAGAACAAAATCAGCAACTTGGCACATAGGAAATCAAGCCATGTTCTCATTAAGCCCTGAATGTTTGGGTCAACAGCCAGATTGGAATTTGCTACCAAAATAATACTGATATCAACTCCAGTTGAACCTCTAAGGGGAAAGCATTCTACAACAGGGGAGCTACAGGAAAGAAAGCCTTCACCTGGATCTCTACTTAGCATACTGTGCCCAATGCAGTGACATAACTCTACCCTCAACAGACTCATTGGTGAGGCATTTTTCCAAATATCTAGGCCCCAAGACATTTGGGGCTTTGAAAGTCCTTAAGCTCAAAGCAGAATGATTAAATGAGAGGTACAGCCAAGCAGGCTCCCAAGCTACCTCATTCATAGAATAGAACTTCACAGATTCTACGGGATAGGTCTTGTTTTAGGTAGATAGGGCAGAGGAGATCTTTTTCTTATGAGTGTGGCTGGCTCTTCTTTCATCAGGTCTGTCTCAAGACAAGCAAAGACTTGTTATCCTCACAGTATCTCTGCTGCTTGCAGAAGCTGGGATTGTGCCTATGTTAAATTATATAAGAGGGACAAAATTATGTGAATTTGCTATTCCTTTTCATTTTGGTATAATAAGATGGGCCTAAGTGTTCTGAACAGAAATACTCTCCAAAGTTCTCTCTTGAGTCCCATTTATTGGGAAAAGACACAGTATAGATAAGGAGGAGGTGGACTGCTAGTGCCACTATGCCAGTTGGTCTTGTTTTTGTTTTTCTATAGGAGCATCTTGGGTGAGCTGGGGACTGGTCAAAGGAGCAGAATATACTGGCAAAGCAATCCATAAAGGAGCTTCAAAACTAAGGGAGCATATTCAACCAGAAGAAAAACCTGTGGAAGTCAATCCAACTGTAGCAAAAGGGCTACATGTAGCAAAGCAAGCTACTGGGGGAGCTGTGAAAGTCAGCCAGTTCTTAGGTAAGATGTGGAAACTCACCTTGTGAAAATTCATGAGAACTTAATGGACACTATTTCTTCAGTATTTCCTTCTTTTTAAAAGGGACATGAACTAACTTCGATTTTCTTTAACTAAAAACAAAATACCTTTTGGAAGGGAAGTGAATGTATTCTACCATTTGGCCTAAATGAACATGGTGTGTGAGAGACCATAGACAGATCTTTTACATCTATAGCATGGGGCCATTTGTGGCAATTCCCACTGGGAGACTAAAGGCCTAAGCAGACTGCCAGAAATAGTGCACATTAAATTGAGGCACTGCCCTGGCTCAGTGCTAGGGAATCATGAGAATTGTATTTTTTTCTGGGACACTGAGCCTTCTCTGTCAGAGAGCTCTGATGCCACAATAAATTACACTTCCCATGATTCCCTAGCACTGAGCCAGGGCAGTGCCTCAATTTAATGTGCACTATTTCTGGCAGTCTGCTTAGGCCCCAAATCTCTCAAGTCTCAGTAGTATGCTACAGTCCACAGCAGATGCTTTCTCACAAACATATTTTATTTAGCGTATTTTAGTCCACTTCAATCCTTTCTTTCCTTAGGAATGTCATGGTAGTAGATATGTAAGTTGTCTCACTTTACACTTGCATCAGGCCTGTGTGATATATTACCATGAAACTTTGCTAGTGGCGTAAGGCCACCCACTGAGCTTCAGAGCTAAGCAGGATTTGAAGAAGCTTACTCTTGCCTTATCTTGCATGCAGAAGCTTGAAAGTTACATGGCACAGGATGGTTCCAATCACACTCTTAAAATGGCTGGGTCATTGTTTTATACCTCTGAGCTATCATCTTTTGCCCCATTGAAACTAGGATGGAAAAGGAAATGATCAATCATTTTTGGATCGGGGAAGCTTCTTAGCATCAAGTCTGATAGGAACATTTGTTCTGTGGTAAGCAGAAATAACAGTATCCTGTTTGTGCAGCTTTAATTATAAGGACTGTGTTAAGAACTTGGATATATTTCTGCTGAAATGTTGCAATATCTGCTG